AAAGAACAACACAATTGCAGATGAACGTGTACCTGTGTTTTACAGATTAGACAAAGGCGTTATTAACGTATGCCACAAATATGTTGGAAATGCACATGGACCTTGACATATTTGGGAAGGATATTAGAATAACCAAGAATCCATATTAACAGGAAATCTACTGTGTACGGATAGAAAATGAGTTCAGCAGTTATATGGGACAGGAAGAACACAGGGAGCATATTTGGGAAGGATAATAGAACGACCAAGAATCTATATTAGCAAGACGGACAGAAAATTAATTCAGCAGATATACAAAAATAGAAAGAGGTGCAAGACAAGGATGTGTCATCTCGCAAGACTCATTCAACCTATGCCTCGAGAAATATAGAAATCCTGTTAGGATTCATTATTAGCGAAGATAATATTAACAACATAAGATATGCAGATTGCAGAGTGTTGAAAGCAGAGTCTAAAAAACTCCCACGAAAGGTAGTGAAGGAAAGTGAAACCAAGGATTGACGTTTCGTCCGTTGTACGCTCCGGCCTTCTTCGAGGCAGTGGAAAACTTTCAGAAGGGAATTCACAGGAGATAACTGATAACTGACATCCATTAAACGTGGCACGTAGAGCTAGAACAGTCTACCCCAGTCAGCGAAATAAAGGGTTCAGTTCGACATTCCAACCACCTGAAGAAGGCTGAAGCGTACAACGGCTGAAATGTTGGAAGAAATATGACGACAAAGATGAGGACAATAGTCCGAATAATTTAAATAGTGTACATAATACCTCGTCTCAGAAATATAGAGAGGATACTGAAGGGCCGAAACTTTGCAATAAATATGGCGACAAAGATGAGGACAATAGTCCGAATAATGTAAATAGTGTACATAATACTTCATCTCAGAAATATAGACAGATACTGAAGGGCCGAAACGTTGGGATAAATATGGCAACAAAGATGAGGACAACAGTCCGAATAAAGTAAATAGTATAGGAAAACACCGCATAATGACATTGTGTAAATGCATGGCGGAATTAGGCTTAGGAGAACCAAATATAATGCACATTTTAAGAGCTACAAGGGACAGGAAATTTTGTAGAAACCTGATCGCGTACGTCCTGAGTGATCACAGCAAATAAAGAAGAAGTATAAATAAAAAGAGTACAGGATTTGTCGTCTGTAAGCTTTAAATGGTGGAACTAGAGAACGTTGCTTGTCTGATTATTGACCAATAGCGACTGAGTGGTGAAAGGCTTGCGACGTTCTCTGTGGGAAAGCGGTAGTTAGCTGGAAAATATTTCACCAGCTAATCGCCTGTAAACTCAGTCAAGGCCTGAAAGTGATGGCTAGTTATTTTTAGCCAAGCTCTGGCATTACAGTCGAATCAAATTCTTGTAAAAATTATATCATGTCAAGGGAAGTCAGGTAGCGATCTGACTATGTTTCCCGCTTCTTTCGCTACTAAACATATATATGAGTCTCTCTTGTGTTCTGATGCGTAATTGTGTCCAAGAAAACGCAGAACATGAGAAGAGTTTTTTTCAGGGAGGAATTTAATTCATAATTGTTTCAAACCTTTCAGTTTTGACTGCCTTAGATTGTTTGTTTAAGATTTACCTTAGACCTCCTAAAAGACCACATCATTGCCATAACTCTGTTCTTCTTAAAATATACTAAAATGGGTTTCGAATATATTTCAGGTCTGTCATGTTGGAAAATATTTGCCATCTGCTCTCTGAGCCATTTTTCTGCCCGTACAATAATGCTGATGATTTTATATTCAAAATAATGTATATAATCAAATATAAATATCAGTTTTGGTTTTGTCTCTCTAAATAGCGGTATTTGAGGATATATTTAAGAAATAAAATACAGTTTAATACTATGAGACTACAATAACGTAGGTTAATCTAATGGTAAGTATAAGAAGAAAAATATTGCCAAATAAACAAGTACGCATGTTCCTGGAAAGATGTCGGCGGTCACAACTACCAAGAAAAATAACAGTAAAACAAAAGAGGATAGAGCGAACTCTTTACATTCATCTTTCTGAAACAACTAATCAGAAACGAGCAGAAAGACGAGATTTCCGAGGAAATAAATAGATTCTCCCTCCAGTTTTGGTCAATGAAACTGTGTCTCGAATAGCGGGGAGATGGCCTAACAAAGAACGAAGTATGGGGTAGTGAAGTTATCATTGATTTTGTCCTTTCCATTTAAATGAAAAATCAAAATTACATCTTTTGACGCCTTGAAGGCCGTACTTCCATTTTTTTTTTCATGGGTCTACAAGTAATTAAAGGTTAAGAAAAAGAAGAAAAAAATCCCTGCCTGATATACAGCCCCACAGTTTGATGGAAAGAGATCCTTGACAGATAAAAAAAATCGAAAAAGATTATGGTAAAAATAAATCTCTTTGGATTAACTAAAAAGGAACAAGTGCGACGGTGAGATTTCCAAGAAAAATGTAGTTTTCCCCTCTAAATTTATTGGGTGATTCTTTTTTCCAGTGATTCTTTGCAAGTAGACGGCCCGAAGAGAAGGCTGTAGTCGAAATGTTCTCTCCTTCACAATGAACTCTCACTAACTTTGCTGACGTGTAGTCGGTAGCATTTCCTTCTGGAAACAATAAAAAAAACAATACGGATACCACGAGTTGTGCTCTTTTTTTTCTTTTAAGCATTTCACCCCAAGTAAGGCGAAAAGCCACTAACACGCAAGGGGTTACAGAGGATTTTGAGAGAGAGTAGATAGGAGTGATAGAGGAAAGGTTGAGGAGAAGGATAGTGGATAGATCAAGGAAAATGGAGATTTCGATTGACATTACATTTGAATAGTTGGAGATTATAGCTATCAGGGAAACATGAAAAGAGGAGGGAGTTCCACAGTCGAGTGGTGCGAGATATGAAGCTATTGGAGCAGAAGAGACGGCTACATTTAATAGTTTCAGCAGTGAAAGGGTGAGAGCGGGATGCCAGCCTCGTACGTCGCTTGAATTCATGAAGTCTGGGAATGAGCGAAAGCAGCTCACCGGAGCAGTTACCATGAAAGTATTTGTAAAAAAGACAGAGAGATCCGACGGCACGT